ACTACTACATAAATTTCATCAAAAATTTATCGCCTATCATTGTTAATTGTCACAATTTTTTCTAAAATCATTTAATAAGGCTAACAGACACGTATTCAAAACGTTGAATTCAACCTTATTTGTCCCAACCATATAGCACTCAAATGTCACTCTACTTTGCCCCAATCCGTTCATTCATGCACTCTCACTTACTTAAGTCAACTTCTCAGCTTCCACGTAGGAGATTATGAAGTTTGAATAATTTTAAACTATTTTTCATGGAATTCAAGTCTAACTGACCTAAGCATGAAGCATCCTACCTCAACTTCAATTTTGAGTAAAATCAGATGAAATATGTTAAATTTTATAGTACAATCAACAAATTAATTTAATTTTTAGAAAAGTTACAGTAAATAAATTACATGTTTTTAACATATCCACGTACATAAGAAAAAAGGATAGAATATAGTGCTTAAAATATTTTAGCACTAGAATCTTTTATCATTAAACTTGTGAGAGTAACAACAAATTGAAATAATGATGATTATAAGAACACTTATATTATTATTATTATTATTATTATTATTATTATTATTATTATTATTATTATTTAGCTATATTATTTGTCCCATCAAAAAGTTAAGTTCACCAAACATTTTCTTTAGCAATTTGACTTGGTCAAATCATTAAATATGGTCAAATTTGCTAAAAATTGGTGAATCATCAACTGATAACCAAACATGCCCTATATACTAGTACTATGTATTCGAGAAAATATAACTAAGGTGGCGTTTGGTTGGGCATGCAGTTTTATGCCTTACTATTATATTTGATTCCAATCACTATGTTTAATTTGTTTGTCTACTTATTTTAATTATTTGATGTTTCTTTTTTGAATTTTATTTGATGTTTCTTTTTCCATACTTTTGAACATTGAAATAACAAATAAGGAAGAATATAATAGCAAAAAATTAAAAGATCATCCTCAATACATTCAATATAAAATTTTAATATACACAAACATATATGTATTATGTATCTTTATATATTAACTAATTTTTTATTTTTTATTTAATTATTTAATTATTTTGATTGTAGTCCCTATTTACTACCAAATATTTGCTCAACTTTTATATATATATATATATATATATATATATATATATATATATATATATATATATATATATATATATATATATATATATATATATATAGAGAGAGAGAGAGAGAGAGGGACAACAGAAATACTACTCAAAATGTCAATGTCAGTTAAATATGACAATATTTATACTTAAATAAATGCAAATCTTACGAGATTTGATAGGAGTTACAATCATTTGATCCTAACGAAAAAAAAAAGGTAAAAATTTAAATAATAAATGAATTTAATATTTTTTTTTTGAAACAATAAATGAATTCAATATATATAATTGAAAAATATTTGTTAGTTGTAATGACAATATTTGAGGCCACCCATCTCTCTCCTATTTGTTTTGTTTTGTTTTTTTGTTTAATTAACTCGTTTTTGCATTTCTATAGTTAACAAAAGCTATTTATTTAGTGCCAAATGATCTATATTTTAAGTCTGTAAAATGTTTAAAAGCGACGAGAGCCTAGTGATATTATTATCAAGGATATAAATCCAAGATGTCATACCTATGAATATGAAAACGTTTAACAAGATAATATCAAACTTTTTAAATTATATTCGCACCGAAACACAAATTTTAAAATAAATTCTCAAAATTTTTAAAATTGAATCCGCACTTGAACAAAAGATAAAGATGAATATATAACGAATATCGGTGCACATAGGTAATGTAACGTACAATATGACGCTCTTTAGTAAATGCATTTAATAATTCAACCCTTGTATTTAAAGAATGTAGTTTCAAACTTTTCAAGTAATCGTTTGCTAGTCATAATAATAGGAAAATCAACAATTTGATCCTCAATTTTTGGCGAACTGTCAATGTAGTCCCTCAATCCCTTATTAATTAAGAAGTTTGAATAATTTTGAACTATTCTTCATGGAATTCAAGCCTAACTTACCTAAGCATGAAGCATCCTACCTCGACTTCAATTTTGAGTAAAATCAGATGAAATATTTTAATTTTAATTTTATAGTGCAATCAACAAATTAATTTATGCTCAACTTTATTTTTTAAAAAGTTGCAGTAAATAAATTACATGTTTTTACCTATCCACGTACATAAGAAAGGGACAAAATATATAATGCTTAAAACATGAGCACTAGTATCTTTTATCATTAAACTTGTGATATATATATATATATATATATATATATATATACCATAAGAAAGAGACAAAATAATGAAATACTACTTAAAATGTGAACGCAGTTAAACATGACAATATTATACTTAAATAAATGCAAATCTTATGAGATTTTATAGGGTTACATTCATTTGATCCAAACAAGAAAAAAAAAAAAAGAGTAAAAAGTTTGAATTATAAATAAATTCAATATAATTGACAAATATTTGTTAGTTGTCATGACAATATTTGAGGCCATCTCTCTCCTAGCTATTTGTTTTTTGTTTAACTCTCTTTGCATTTCAATAGTTAACAAAAGTTTTTTTTTTTTTTTTTTTTTGAGTGCAACAAAAGTTATTTATTTAGTGCCAAATGATCTATATTTCAAGTGTGTAAAATGTTAAAATTGAAGAGAACCTAGTGATATTATTATCAACGGTATAAATTCAAGATGTCATACCTATAAATATGAAAACGTATGAAAAGATAATATCAACTTTTTAAATTATATTTGCCCTGAAACGAAAAATTTAAAATGAATTCTCAAAATTTTTAAAATTGAGTCTGTACTTGAACGGAAGATAAAAACGAATATATAACAAATATCGGTGCGCATAGGTAATGTAACGTACAATATGACGCTCTTTAATAAATGCATTTAATAATTCAACCCATGTATTTAAATAAAGTAGTTTCAAACTTTTCAGGTAATCGTTCGCTAGTCATAACAATTTATTGCTATCAGATTTACTTAATGCAATCCCAAATTTTTCCATTATCATTGACTAAAGAATTAGCCTAACCACAAAATTGTTGAGTTTCAGTGATCTTCTAACTGATTAGGAAAAGAAGGGAAAGAAAAACAATGAAGAAAAAAAACCAATGCAATAGCCAAAACGTTATAGAATAGCAATCAAGTTCACAACACAAATACAAGCTTTGCATTCATTAATACATTAATATAACATATATATTACATTACTCAAAACCAGAGAGAGCACCATAACTAGGCTTCTTCAACTACAAACCAAAACAAACAAGAAAAATAACATAATTGTACTAACACACAGAAAGAAGGGTTCTTATTCTTAAGCTTTGGGGGAATACTTGCGCATCCAAACTTGCTTTCCTTTAACCGAAAACTTTGCTTTCTCCTCGCCCTTGAGAATCAAGTCAACAAATGCTGGGGAGGTTAAGACGATCAGAGCAATCAAGTCAACTCGTAATATGGATTGTAGTAACCTATGTTTTGATGGTGCTAGACACCGGGGTTCCATCCCCCTAGTTATTCGGATTTAGTTTTGACTTGATGTTTAGTTTTTACCCTAGCCTCTGCAATCACTGTGAAGGGTGGTTGTGGCGGTGACACTCATTTTGTTAATTTATTAAGTTTATTTCCGTTGTTTAGTTTACCTTTAAAGGTTTAGTTACTTAAGTAAGTTTAAGAAAAATGGGATGTTACAGACGTGGTTCTCTTGGATCATGGTGGAGGCTTCTTGGCGGCATGCAGTGGGCGGCTCGTGGGGTGTTCTTCTCCTGTTATGGCCAAGTCCATGGCGTGTAAGGAGGTGCTTTCGTGGCTCAAGGATCGTGACTTGTTATCATTTTGCTTATTTACCGACTGCTCAGAGCTTCAGACTAGCTTGTCCTCTCGTCAGGTCTCAATCTTCTCCTATGTTGGTTTAGTCATTGACCAATGTAGGACCATTATGGCCACTTTTATTTATTGTTCTGTTTCCTTAATGCCTAGATCGGCTAATTTACTTGCTCATACTCTAACTTTAACCGCCTTCTCACAGGCTGGTTAGATGTATTGGGACTCTGTCCTTTCTGACTCTATTGTTACTTTGCTTTATTAATCTACGTTTATATAGTTGCCTTCAAAAAAAAGAATGCAAATCTTATGAGATTTTATAGGGGTTACATTCATTTGATCCAAAAAAAAAAAAAAAAAGAGTAAAAAATTTGAATAATAAATAAATTCAATATAATTGCCAAATATTTGTAGTTACGACAATATTTGAGGCCATCTCTCTCCTAGCTATTTGTTTTTTGTTTTTTGTTTAACTCTCTTTGCATTTCAATAGTTAACAAAAGTTATTTATTTAGTGCCAAATGATCTATATTTCAAGTGTAAAATGTTTAAAATTGAAGAGAGCCTAGTGGTATTCTTGAAGAGAGCCTAGTGATATTATTATCAAGGGCATAAATCCAAGATGTCATACCTATAAATATGAAAACGTATAAAAAGATAATATCAACTTTTTAAATATATTCTCACCAAAACAAAATATTTAAAATGAATTCTCAAAATTTTTTAAATTGAGTCCCTACTTGAACAAAAGATAAAAATGAATATATAACAAATATCGGTGCACATAGGTAATGTAACGTAAAATATGACGCTCGTCAATAAATGTATTTAATAATTCAACCCATGTATTTAAATAAAGTAGTTTCAAACTTGTCAAGTAATCGTTTTCTAGTCATAACAATTTATTGCTACCAGATTTACTTAATGCAATCCCAAATTTTTCCATTATCATTGACTAAAGCATTAGCCTAACCACAAAATTGTTGAGTTTCAATGATCTTCTAACTGATTAGGAAAAGAAAGGAAAGAAAAACAATGAAGAAAGAAAACCAATGCAATAGCCAAAACGTTATAGAATAGCAATCAAGTTCACAACACAAATAGAAGCTTTGCATTTATTAATACATTAATACAACAGATATATTACATGACTCAAAACCAGAGAGAGCACCATAACTAGGCTTCTTCAACTACAAACCAAAACAAAAAAGAAAAATAACATAATTGTACTAACACACATAAAGAAGGGTTCTTATTCTTAAGCTTTGGGGGAATACTTGCGCATCCAAACTTGCTTTCCTCTAACCGAAAACTTTGCTTTCTCCTCGCCCCTGAGAATCAAGTCAACAAATGCTGAGGAGGTTAAGACGATCAGGGCAAACAGTGACTGCTCATTTGCCTTCACCGGCTGCATAGTGATGGACTCCACACAGTGGCCAAACACCCTGTAGAAGTAACTCCTAAGCTCCCATTCGAAAACAGGGTAGCCCCTAGAAAAAGTGGCAAATAGAATCCTGTTTTCTTTCGGTTCCTCCATGTGCAAAGGAGGCACCGGTGACTGGGATGACTCGCCTGTGAGTTTGAGCCCTCCAAACTTTTGTATCATGGGATCCACGGGAGGCACCACTGACCGAGATGACTCACCTGTGAGCCTGAGTCCTCCAAATCTCGATATCATGGGATCCATGGGAGGCACTACTGACCGAGATGACTCACCTGTGCGTCTGAGCCCTCCAAATCTTGGCATCATGGGCTCATCGACAGGTGGAATCATCACCATTTGCCGTTCAGTGTTTCTCGGCATGGCCATTTCCATGAGATCGTCTAATACCTTGACACAAATATTCTCCACAACCATTCTAACCCCACGGTATGCCAGGGCACGATTTTCATGGAAGAACTTAAGTGACAACTGCTCTCCCAAGACACTCTGACTCAGTGAAATCTCACTTGCATCAGAGGAAGACAGATACGTGGTGTCTGTGATGCATCTAAGGCAAGCCACAGCTTCATCAGCAAGTCCATTGATCGAATTTAGGGGCGACAACAAGATGTTTGGCACAACAGCATCGAGTACATCCAGTTCCAACCAAATCCATAAGGCAATCATATTCACAGATACCTTAGGATCACGCTTAAGCGCAAAAACAAGGATTGAATAAAGTTTTCTGTCCATTGAATGATAAAGCTTCAGCTTCTCGACAGGAATTTCAGGATAGGCATGATCCATGGCAAAATATGTTCTTAGTTGGCAAGACCTGTTCACATGAAATTCACACCATGAGCCTGCCAGTAATCTCCCAAAATGACAAGAAACAGTAAAAGACAATGAAAAGAAGGTAGGAAGATATGAAGCATGCCAAACCAACCAAAGAGACTCTTCACTGTTAACAATAAACCTAAATAATAGAGCCTGGCAAAGAATCATAACTAGGAGCATAAAAACTAGAAATCGATGAAGCAAAGTAACACACAAATTTCATCCAAGTTATAGCTAATACAACAGCCAGATGTCAAATGGCCAAATGACGGTGTCGAAATCCTCAATCAAAAAGGAGTCAGAGAATGTAGCTTCTCAGCCCGATGAAAGAGAATCACAGATCACAATCACACAGGAAAAAGTAAGTCATCATACAAAACTAAGGTGCAAAGGAAAAATATTTTTTTAAATATTATTAGTTTACCTTGAAAAGAAAATGAGAAATATGAAGGCAAAGAAGAAGGATGTCTTCCTTAAGACTTCATCTATGCAATGCACTTCTCCACTGGCTTGATTTATAGGCAGTGTGAGGAAGTAGCCTTTAGTTCAACCAATGATATACCGAAACGTATATAGCGAGTTATTATAATTTTGTAAAGGGAAAAATGACTTTTAGTTCCTCAATTGTTGCATCCTAGCCGTTTGAATCCCTAACTTTTTCCCGTTGCAATATACTCCCCTAACTCTTCAAAAAAGTTGCAGTTTTAACCCCTGGAGCAACAAAACTATTAAATTCTATTAAAATTTTACTTAGTACATGGTATTTTAGTACTTTTAATGTTTCTTCTTTAATTATAATCTTCTTTAGTCTTGATATTTTATTTGTAAAATAAAAAAAAAAAAAAACTTGATTTTAGCAGGTTCGTGTAGGAAAAATAGGGACGATGTACCACAATTGAAGAGGAAAAAATTAGGAAAGAAATTTGTCAATTCTCTATTTTGTTGATGAAATACCAAAACTGAAAAAGTTCTAAAGAATAAAGATAATAAAATTTTAAAATACCTATGTACTAACTACTAAAGTAAACTTTAATAGAGCTTAATATTTTTGTTTTTTCGGCGGTTAAAATTGCAACGATAAAAAGTTAGACTAAAACAGCTACTAAGGAACAATTGAGGGACTAAAAATGAATTTTTCCCTTTTGAAAATATTCAAGAAGTAACAATTTTTAGTAGGTAAAAATGCATTTTTAGTCCCTCAATTGTTCCTTAGTAGCTGTTTTAGTCTAACTTTTTGAAAATATTCAAGTAACAATTTTTAGTAGGTTGCAGTTAATATTTTTAGATACCTTTCCTCGGATACCACGGTATACAGTCATAATTTTTCAGTTCTTGTTGACTTAAAATATGGGCCTTCAAAAACCCCAGCCCTCCAAACCATGATACAAAGGTTTTATATTCATTTTCCATTTCAAAGACTCCAAAACTTGCTATATCACAATATGTTTTTGCATTTTTGAGCATTATAAGCTACTAGTTAAGTACTGAAGTTCACAGCTAGGTGTTTTAACCTTTGCACAATGGGGGGCTAAGTGAATTCTTGTTAACTAAAAGAAACCACTCTCATTAGCAGTTAAATTGAACACCAGTCACACCACACAACAATCTAATAAATTATGTTGCATATATGAAATAATTTTAGATAGGTTTGACAGAAAAGGAATAATTTAATTTAAAATGGATCTTTGAAATAATTAATCACCATGCAGTCCTTTCACAGTTATTATTACCTTATTCTGACACTGCTAAGTGTTGATTAATTAGTTTAGTGTCCTGCCTGTACATAGTCTAATAGATTTGCTTATGGAACATAAATACATAATCATCCACTAACAGGAAAAAGTATGCTCTTGCTGTTATCAATAGGGATTCTGTAAGCATTTCTTCCTTTATTTTAGTTCATCTAATATTCATCACAAGACTTGCTGTTTGTATTATTCTATACATAAATTTTGCTTCCACTTTGAATTTTGTGAACATATCTAATACACCGTCTGTCATGGTTTATATGTCAGATTTACTATTTATAGGTCATATCTTCTTTCTTCACTAATTTTCCTTATGAATCTATATACTTGTATAGCCATCTATTAAAAAAGTATTTGTTTGCACAGAGAATCAACCTTCCAAATTGTGATCTTATATATCTAATTTTCTCTTTAATTGGACTTGATCCCAAAAATGGAGCTTGAATACACTCAAAAATCAAGCCAAATCATGTTTGCCTTGATTTGAATTGCTTGCTATCCTAATGCTTTTAAGTGATAATTTTAAATGTTAGACATTCTTAAAATAAATAACCATAAAACTCAAAAGTATCAGAAAATCGTGAAAAGAGAAACCTGATTCACCAGGTCTTAAGTAGTGCATTCTTAGAAAGTTAAATGTGGACTAAGAGAAGCCTTTATTGCCTCCTCTACTTTTCCCTGCTGTAATCTCTAATTTTGATTTTACAAATAAACCTTATACACTTACTGGCAGTTATTTACTGTTGGGAATGCAGTAAGAAGGTGAATACTCAAAACTAGCAATAAACTATATTATGGAGAATAAAAATAGCAAATATCAAAGAAATCATTCCAAAGCACCATCAGCTAGGTTTAAATTCCATACCTTAAATGATCTTGTTCTGGCAACCGATAGTCCAGTTCTCAACCACTGCCACCATTTCCTATCTTTTTAGCAGAGCAACACATCCTGTCTTTTTGGAAAAGGTAACTTCTGCTTACAATGCTTTTCAGTTTCAATAGCTTGAGTATCTCAACCATTGTAAAATCAAGTTGATACACAGTCCAAGCCGCCAAAAGAGTTGAATAATTAAACAGAACTGTCAACCTCCCGGGAGTTTAATAGAAAGCACCAACTTTATGGGGCCAAGAGTCAGACTATTGTAACAAGACTTTCAACAACAGTAACCAGGTCTCCTCTCTGCAAGGAGGAGAACACAATAGTTTAACCACCATTGAATATGACAAGACAAAAATTGCACTCTAGAAACAAAGAGAGTACATATATCCTGCAAAGCTGGGAAAGATTGTCTGAGGTATGCTGGGGGTTATAACACACCAATACTTTATCACAAGCCCAAAAAATATAAGCACACATCACTTCTAACTTTCATATTCGGCAAACAATATTAGGCATTGCATTGGTCAGAGCAAATTGAGGTAAAAAGAAGTAAAGTCTAATGCACTATAGAGCACCTAAAACAGAAAAACTAAAACATTTTATATAGATGAGTACATACTGAAAATGCCCTTGAGCAATAACCAAAGGGAGCAACAGCGACATCTTGAAAGCCTAAAACTGCTTACAATATATTCCCACCACCATGAACATTTATATGAAATAAGGTTCATAGGATGACAGAAAATCAAGCTACACTTAATGTATCTTATCTATTTCTTTATGGTGGTTATGCTAGGAATTGGAGCTGCATCACCTTGCAGATCAGACGAGGATGGTGATGAGGAGCACTCGTTCCTAGATCTTTGTATTCGAGAAGGCAGAGGAGGACGAGAGAAACCAGGCAACGACGGATTTGAGTTGAAAGGCACACTTTTAGTATTGCCCATAGGGCAGCTCATAGTTGCAGCAAGAGAGCTTGTAGAATTGGTAGGTTTCTTGTAAATCCCACAACTGTGCTGGTAACTACTATTGATGCCGAAGCAATTATTAAAAGCAAGCACGTTTTTGCGTTTTCTTGTGTATGCATTCTCTGGCTTGACAATATCTTTGATAGAGGAATATGAAGACACATCTGATAGTCTGGTAAAAGATTTGGATTTACCAATATAGAATTTTGATAGACCTCTCCTGAAAATGGAAAGCAGGAAATATGAGGACTATGAAGCAAGCATAACACTCTATTAAAGCATTAAACATTAACTAGTAAAAGAAAATTTCATTACATGCGAAAGATACAAGGAAATGTCCAATGGTTTCAACTTCAATATATCCAAGCAGAGAAATAAGCAGTAGTGAAGCTTGCAGCATTTTAGAAAATATCAGGTTCCTTTTGCATGATCACATGTGGACCAAATATCTGGATATATCTTTTTATCATATAATTATATATCCACTGGACCATCACCTAAGAAGATTATCCAAATGCCAGAAAGAAAATACTCCAGGACCTTTCACTAATGACACTTATGGGCCATCTAGAAATGCAAGTCATTTTTCATATTATTCTTGTCATCAGAATAATTGTAATTTAAACTTCTCTTGAGTTCAGGAATAGTAGGTCATGCAAATACAAAAATGATCATAATCTTTTTATTTTTGTAGTTCGTCTTTCTGTTGGCCAGGATCTATGGCATGCACTGAACATAAATTGTATAATGAAACTTTTGTAGGTTTTTGGCCAGTATTTATCTTTCAAATCCAGTACACTCTTGATTGCCAATCCCTTTTTATTGTGTGTAACATTTATGATGAAATCTGCTAGTTATAAATTGATTTCTTGAAGATGCATACACAACAGAATAAAACATTAACATATCTAATTTAGATTCTAATGAAGTAAGCTCATAATTTCGACCCTTTACAGTCACTCTAACATTATTCAAGACAACACAAGCATCTATTTCTTAATCCACACCATACCAAATGCAGAAATGAACAATCAATAGTTAACATACATAAAAAGACTGCACAAAGTCCTACTAAGGTGGTAACAAGAAACTTCAACATTTAACTGCAATTAAATGATGCGCATATAACTATCACAGAAACCTAACCGTAACATCAAATTTACTGGCAAAAGTAGTGTTCAAAGATATGTACTTAGATTTCAACACCCACCCCCCCCCCCCCCCCCCCCCCCAAAAAAAAAAAAAAAAAAAAAAAAAAAAAAAAAAACTACACTGTCAAACTATAGAAATTAACAGCAATAATCACATGGCAATACACATTATATGAAAATTTGAAGAAAAAAAAAATCACACATACTTCAACGGCAAAGTCTCCTCCAAGTCCTCCGAATTGCCGAGAGCACCATCTTCCGCCGAGCTCTGCACTTCCGCACCGTCGTCGTCAGCATCACCACCGACTGCAGACTCGTCGCTGTTCTTCCCAATAGACGAAGAGGACGACGAAGAACTGCCGCCATCATCGTTCTCCACAATGGCCTCTCCACGCCGTCCTCCGACGGAGAACTCAGGCGATTTGTGCATCGAAATACACGTCATTCCGGCGACGAATTCCGGCAATACGGCCTGACGATCCTCGGAACTGTTCGTCCCCAACGCAATCGGAATATACAAGGCGTATATGCATATATACAGATATATACTATTATATGCTCTAATACTCATTTGAATATGAAGAAGGAGAAAAGACCTGTGCCAGTATATATAGGCACGTACGGAGAGAGGAACAAAGTTACCGTATACTGATTCAGAGAATTTAATTTATGCCTAAGTACTTGATTTTGGTAGGTAAAGCTGTAAAGGTCAATTTAATTGGTTTTCTAACTTTGATTTTAGTAAAAGAAAAAAAAAATCAAACACTTAATTATGTTCAAACTTCTATGTTTTAGCAATCGAATATCAAATGTGATAATCACGTTTAATTATATTAATCGACACTAAAATTAACTCGTGTTAGTTTAAGTATTAAGCTTGGTTGTTATAATTAATTATTAGGTAACATGAATTTGAAAAATATTCTCCTGGAGCGTTATGTTGTGCAACCGTGTGCATAGTACACACGGTTGCAAGAACGACGTCGTTTTAACGTCTAACTTAAAAAAAAAAAAATCAATTTCGATTGTCAATAACGGAGTTATGTTATGCATAATTTGAACTATAAATCCATAACTTCATAACTATATATTCAGAATTGCATAACTACACATTCATAACTTCATAGCTATACATTCAGAATTGCATGCATAACTACACATCTATAACTTCATAACTATACAATCAGAATTGCATAACTACACATCCAAACTTCATAACTATACATTCAGAATGTGAAATTATAACTTCATAACTAAACATTCAGAATTGCATGCATAACTACACATCCATAACTTCATAACTATACATTCAGAATGTGAAGTTATAAAATTATGAACATATGTTTACGTAACTAACGGCAATCGAAAATGACGCCGTTTTTGCAACCGTTGGTGCACACGGTTGCACAACATAATTTGCCCCACTAGCTAGGTTGGACATGGACAACTTAATTGGTCACCGAGATAAATTTTGGAAACAATGATCCAGGATCGAGTCTCACCAGCCACAGTGTGGGAGCAGCCTCTCAAAGTGAGGGGTTTTTTTTAGCTGAGTTACCATAATTTACATCCTTCCAAATACTCTGTCAAACCGAGGCCTTTGCGGTCCACTTTTAGTCTATTCTTTTTTATTAGAACATCCTCATTTAGTCCTAGTATTATTGTGGCATGACCATTTTTAGTCCTCATTCAACAAAAATCGTTGAAATGTCGTTAAATACAAATATATTTCAATCTCTTCTTCTTTTTTTTTTTTTTTTTTTTTTTTTTTTACAAAGTAGTTTGAACAGTTATATTTTTTATGTTTATTTTTTTGAAAAAATTCATAATTGAAGACCAAAATGCTCTTGTATTTAACGATAATTAAACTGTTTTGTTGATAAAGGACAAAAAATGGTCATGTTACAATAATACTAAGACATTTTCAAAAAAAAAAAAAATACAATAATACTAAGACTAAAAGTGAATGTTCTAATAAAAAAAAGACTTAAAGTAAATTGTCACCTATAAATTTAGGATCAATACAATTAACTATTTACAATAATATTATTAGCAGAGGTTAATTGTCGTCGGTTGTTGACGATAGTTGCAATTTAATTAGTTCTTCGTGAAGTGAATTTAGGCTTAACGTGGTAATGTCTTGGGAATGTTTCGGAATATTTGTTTTATGATTATTTATATATTTTAATTTTTTTTATTTTTTATTTTAGTTTTATCATACGGACTAGTTATTTTATTGAATTATTTAATTTCACTGTTACATTTTTAGTTTTTTTTTTTTTTTTTAACATTACATTTTTAGTTTAGTAATTGAAAAGACTTAATATCATCTAAAGTGTTCTGGATATAGTGATTTTTTTCACGTTTAATTCTAAATTTTTAAATTAATCACTTTTGGTTCTTCAATTTTTAAATTTTTACTGGTACAAATTAACCACTCGTTGTCCTTTAACTATCAAATTTTAACCACACATGGTCTTTCTAGGAAGACCAGAGTTGGTTAAATTTCAAACGTTGAAAAACAATGGGTGGTTAACTTGGACTATAGATGGTAATAATTTGAAAGTCGAAGGACTATGAGTGTTTATTTTAAAAGTTTATGACCAAATATGGTAAAATTATTATTTTTGAAGGACCCATATGCCATTAACTCATTTGAAAATTAAGTAATTAAAATCCAAATTAATTATTTCTTTTTGAGGAATCGACACCCGAAGTATTCTGATGGTTTTATTACTATGATTGACATATGACTTGCATGAATATTCCGATTAAGCTACATAAATTGTGGCGAAGTCACACATTCTCAAATCAACACTTAAGAATAGATGGTTACCATGAAGTGAACGATACAAACTATAAAGACCCAATTGTAAGGCAGTTTATATAGTAATGTGTGCACAGGCACAAAACGCGCGCATTTCATGCTGACATCATGCTGATGTCACTCCGTCCATCCGAATATATCAAATCTTATTATGTGTATTCAGTTAAAATTTTATGTGTATTGTGTTATGGATTTATGTGTATTCAGTTAAGAGTTTATGTGTATTATATTAACCAAACTCATTATGTGTATTCAGTTAAAAGTTTATGTGTATTGTGTTATGAGTTTATGTGTATTATGTATTATGTTAGATTATGTGTATTCTGTTATGAGTTTATGTGTATTCTATTATGAGTTTATGTGCATTTGAAACAGAGGATTTTTTTTTTTAACAACTTAACAAAACGACGTCATTTTAGGAGGCGCGGGCGCACAGTGCTATGTATGCCCTGGTGCACGGTATAACGATTGCAATTGTAATTACTTGATCGAAACTCAGTGTCATACTGTCATTATCCAATAACTACAATAGTTGGCCTCCTATGGAAATATCTAATGTCATATACGTGATCACGAGAATGTGAGACTTATAAGATTTTTAAAAATAATTATTAATCCATTTTTGTCATGTTTATAAAATATTACATACAAAATTCTTTAACGTATCAAATTATCTAAAAAGTTTCATTAAACATTTTACTTGAATTACATGCAATTTTTTCATGTTTTCACAATTAAAAAAAATTCTCTATATATGCTCAATTGCTCATGTAATATAATTTGATATTAAATGCATCCCACGGGATTCATTGCTTATTGCACAAATATCTGTACATGAGTGCACCTGTAGTAGCATCATTGTACTGAGGACCTAGTCAAATGTACACATGCATGCACAATTTCCAAAGCAAAGTTAGTTGTCCAAACCTTATACTAATACGAATACTAAGTTAGTTGATGCTACAAAAATAAAGTTAGAAATTAACATTGTCTTAATAATTGTCTTGCCAACCAGTCAAAGTTAAACCAATTTAATTTGTTGATTCTTGCTACCTAACACCCTGTTCATAAGCCAATATAGTGCCTGTGCCATGTTATTCTCTTTAATTCTGCTCATTTATGTCCGCACTTACAATTGCAACAAGGTACTTCACCTTCAAGTTTGTAATGTGCTTCTTGTTTCCTTTTTGGAAACCACGGTCCATTTGCTAGTTCCCTGTCCATTATAGGTCTCCATATGACACAATGCAAAGACACTATAGTTTATCAATCGTTATACCATACACCACGTTGCACATAGGACTATGCGCCTATCTGCGAAACGGTGTCGTTTTGAATTTCCTCCGTTAGTGACATTTGACAGGACGGATGTCTCTCCGTCCGTCCAATCACCTTTTTTTTTTTAATATATATCAAGCCTTTCTTCTTCACAAAGTCTCTCCATTACCACTCTCAAGCATTCAAAACCGATCACTATTTTCCGCGAAAGACAGCAAAAACCGCAAACTCTGATCCTTCATCACATTCCTATGCAAGAACAATACACCAGCGCGAAGAAAATGTGAGCATAAATACGATTGCATAACACTATGAACATGATATTACTACATTCCAGACATTCATGATATTACTGCATTATGTTAATACAGGAACGTCAACTAGGGTTACATATTACTTAGACTTGTGTTTATTCTGATATAAGATTATGTACATTAGTGTTTTCAGTTGCTATACCTTATCATAGATAACCGCTATTCTTATACTCAAAATTATGTGTATCCTGGTTATATATTATGTGTATTACTTCATAACATTATGTACATTATACATTTGCACCCCTGTAAACTTCTCAATCCCAATATATTGTCTGTCTGGTGTTAATATTAGTGTTACCTATTACTTAGAACTGTGTTTATGTGTATTATGTTATTACAACAGTGTCAACTAGGGTTACATATTACTTAGACTTGTGTTTATTCTGATATAAGATTATGTACATTAATGTTTTCAGTTGCTATACCTCATCATAGATAACCATTATTCTTATACTCAAAATTATGTGTATCCTGGTTATATATTATGTGTATTACTTCATAGAATTATGTACATTATACATTTGCACCCCTGTAAAATTCTCAATCCCAATCTACTGCCTGTTTGGTGTTAATATTAGTGTTACATATTACTTAGACTTGTGTTTATGTGTATTATGTTATTACAGAAATGTCAACCACTACAACCACTAATCCCCGGAGATCTCCAAGAAATAAGAATATTGCACCTACATCAACACCTCCAATGACTACTGATCCTACGCTACGAGAAATTGCTAGAGAGGGTAAACGAAGGAAAAATACTGCTACTGCATCAAAAGGTGCTGAAACATGTTCTGAACCAGCAAATGTTGAAATCAGAACAGGTACCAATGATGACCCCAAGCAGCCTGCTGCCAAAAAACAAAAGACAACCCACACCTGTACAACTGTCAAACATAAAAAAACCCCAAAGAGGATAAGAAAGGAGGAAAAACAAAAGAAGAAAAAACCAAAACACAGTGATTACTTGGCTGTACGGACCTCCCCAAAGCAGCTCTGTGCACTTGTGAGCAGTTTGAGCCCGGAACAGCACCAAGCTGTTCGAGATATAGGATTTGGATCCCTTTTAAGTGCAACACTTTCTTCATATGATGGTGAACTTCTGAGACACCTTCTTGAGCGATTTGATGTTGGT